AGACTAAATATGAAAACAAGTCCACTCGCTTTTGCGCTGCATTTGTGTATGTAATAAAACTTCATTTTGCCTGTCCAGTTTAGAAATAATTGGATGTAAAAATATAAAAATTCCGAGGACAACCACGGCTTTTCACACTTTGCCATTTTCTAATCAAGTATAATTTTTTTTTTTTAAAAAAAGCGCTTTCTGAGTGATAATGACATACACAGCAACAAGAAGCCGATAGCGTTCGCCGACGAATCGCCGTCAGCTAACAAAACTTTTTAGGCGTGTTGACAGATAGATTTTGCCCTGATCGGCTAATTTGTATAGCCTGTTTTATTTTCTGGTATTTGATTGGCTCTGACAAGCTGTCCTATTTTTCTTAAACTGGACAGTTTGCCTATTTCTAAAAGAGAGTCCTATCTCAAACTGTCCAAAATTAATCGTTAATTAAACAGCGTTTAAAACATCAAAAGATTATAGCTTTGCTGACAATATCAGATTAACTACCAGCTGTATAATTGATTTTTTTAACATCATAATACCTGCACTAAGAAGTTAAATCAAGAACACTGATTTCATATATACCATTCAGGGAGCATTTTGGAGAAATGTATTATCGCGCGCTGATAAAAAACTATGAATTTTTTGGTATTTATAAGTCACGTCTTGAATGCTACAATCATCCAGCCTTTCCTTTCTGTTTTCCAGTTTTGCGCGCCTGTGGTAACCTAGGAAAACCAGATAATGCAATTGTTGTCAGCCAGAGCAAGAATTACTGGACAGGACAGTATGTCAGATACCTCTGTAATCCGGGTTATGCCATGGTTGGTCCTGCTGTCAGAAGATGCTTGGTCAGCGGCAAGTGGAGTGGAAATGTACCAACATGTAAGAGTTAGGTCGTTAAGAAAGTGTGGTGGCGTATACTACCTAAAGGTCTTAATAGGCTATTTCAGAGATCCAGAAACTCTCACTTTCAAAACGAGGCTAAAAGCAAAATGTTTCATTTAAAAACGAGTTTTGCACATCATTTTCGTATCCATGGCTCCGCACTTAGTCTCGCTTTGAAGCAGACGCTTGTGGCAACTCGTATTATGGCTTATTATGCCGGAAATATATTTTTTCCTTTCCCTACCACTGAGGACTGATAAAAGTTTTTAAAAGTGACTTAGTATTTTAAAAAAATCAATTCGCTTCACCGACACTTTATTTTGTTGTCGTTTGTTTGTTTGTTTTTCTTCCAGGTACAGAAAAACCTGAATGCGAGCCTTACTGGACCATAGATGACAACACCAGACGGAAAGGTTTCACGGCGTCACGAAGTATTAAGAATGATTACTATTTGGCTGAAGGATGGTACAGGTTTATATCAGGCAAACAAATGTCCACAAGTTGTACTTATGGATCCGGCTATTGCGATACTTCATATGCAGGATGGTTGCAGGGAAGCCATCCGTCAGTTAAGGATGGCGTGGTCTCTCGGAAAGTATGTTTTGGCTATTCTGGTGGTTATGGTCGTAACTGTTGTCGTTATAGTACATATATAAAGGTGCGCAACTGTGGTTCTTTCTACATCTACAAACTGAAACCCACACCAAATTCTAGCTGTCGTTATTGTACTGAATATTAACAGAGTCCACTCACTGCGCAGCATAGATTATTATAGAGGATATTACATGGCCGCGACAGAGAAATTTCGTGTCTAAGCGGCCACACAATGTTCTATTCATTATAACACAACTAATGAAATACCAAACCATTTCACTTGAACTTTTTCTTGGCTGCTGGCGAAAGACGCCATTTATCATGTAGCCATGCATTGCAACGGATATCTTTTCACGAGAGAAGTTCACGTGTGAGGAATAAAGATGTTTTTGCGCGAAGACTCACGTCATTGCGGGGTGTTCACATATATAATAATTTACAACTATTCCACGAGTGAGCGGGATATGAGTTGGCTATAATCATCTCATATCCAACAAGCGCGAGTGGAATGATTGTTTTATTAAAAACGACCGCAAAAAAAAAAAATTCTTTCCGACTTTACTTTTAAAAACAACCGATTTTCAGCTTTTTTTTAGCAGACGCGTACATTGGAGAGCATGGTATAATGGGTAATGTACCATGATGGCTAAGCCAATCAGAGCTCTAGAATTGCATTATCCAATGATTCAGTTTTTAATAAAAGGTATTATCAATCACTAAGCATGCCACTAAAGAAAACTAAATCCTTTAAATTTTATAGCCTAAAGTAGCATATCTGAAGTACCCGCTGGCAGCTCTAACATACAATTATAGCCTTGTGGTAATCCGAACCCATGACTCAAATCCCGCCCAAACTCGAACCAACATTATTTTTCCTGGGCGTGCTTATGTAGTACATCTACCACAGTTTTTACCCTCGACAACCCACTGACTTAACCGCAGTCTTCTGCTGTTTCTTGATTTCTTGCCTTTTTCCTATTAACATCTTATCTGTAATTTTTTCGCAAAATGTCGTTGGTTTTTGCTGATTGCCTGTATAAATCCTGATAAAATGATAAATTAAAGTTAGCTATCAAATAAGTAACAAATACGATAAAGTTCGACCGTGGAACTTCCCAGGCACCTATCCATCCCTTAATATTAATCCTTCGTTAACATAACCTCATTAGCTTTTCGCCTAGGGCAAAGTGTTGGGTTAGATTAGGGAATTAGTAAGGACCCTCAGTAAGCATTGAATATACTGATCCTGCTCATCGATTTTGGCCAGCTTCGCTTCGCGATGATGCGTAATCTAACTGTTATCCTACGAGATTCAATCGAATCTTGGAGCTTAGCGACCGCGTCAGATCGACAAAATGTCACACTCCCAGGGGAGGGTCGTTGCCTTTGCCCTATCGCAAACCGACACCGTCGGCGGAGCCGGTGCGTTTAATTCGACCGGAAACAACTTACGCGTAGGATAACAGTCAGAATTACGCATCATGGCGAAGCGAAGCTGGCCAGAATCGATGCGCAATGCAGCGCTCCTCGGGCTCTGCAGCCGAATTTAGAAACTAGCGCTCGTCGAACGGGTAGGTATACACTCTTCGGTCTTGCTGGTGGTAATTTAAGGGAGATCAGTCGCTTTGTTTGGAATTTATTGGCCTTCGCGCGGCGAGGGTCGGTTGGAAGGTCTTGGAAGGTCTCCAGCCTTCCCTTCTTTTGTAGTGTTTAGTACTCGATGGAAAGAAAGTTGACTAAACGGCGTTTAAACCGGCCGTAGGACACAGAGTGGCTATGAACTAAAGGTAAGGGAGCTTTTTGAATCAATATTTCGCGTGATCATGATTTTTTTTTCTTAGCGTTGTAGATTCGAATACATGTGAAACTCGATGGAAAGAAAGTTGACTAAACGGCGTTTAAACCGGCCGTAGGACACAGAGTGGCTATGAACTAAAGGTAAGGGAGCTTTTTGAATCAATATTTCGCGTGATCATGATTTTTTTTCTTAGCGTTGTAGATTCGAATACATGTGATAAAATTCAAACAATAAGGGTCCGAATCAAATGTAATAATGCAAGAATCTTGACCTTCGTTATCTTAAAGGCTACTAGTGCAGATAGACAAACAAGAAGACTTCGTATCTTTAAGATTTTTGCATTATATTTATTTGGCATCAGATAATACACTAATAATTCTAGTATATTACGACCAAATGACCTCTGAAGCCCGAACCTAAACATAGTGCGCTTGGGCGGCCTGTGGTATTACGTGATTTGGTGATTGCACCAGTGTACAACACCACGAAACTACCAGACCATTGCTGACTAACACAACGTCAATTCTAAAAAAAAGAAATGATCAATGTGTGCAAACTGAATTGTATAGCCGTCTTTAGTTAGAATTCTCTATTGTTTCAATTATACGTTAAAAACCGAATCTTTGCTAAAACGATAGCGGTGTATACTATTCTCTACGCTCTGGTATAATTCGAGTTTGCATGCAATTAAAGGTTGAAATGTTTTGGAAAGCTGGAGCTCAAGCTAAGAAAGGCAGGGACAGGTTTTTTCTTGTTATCCGAAAAATGCTACGTATTTTAAACTATGGGCTCTTCCTGATAGCAAGGAAGAGTCTAGAAATGCAAGGCCCATGCTATCAAATGTCAAAAAAATTAAATAGCAACTGAGATCAAAGTATCCCGATCCATTAATTCCGCGATGGAATCTAAAGGAGTTGGCCCTATAGTTCATATTCTAGTAAAATAATCCTTAAAAAATAAATAACCAAAAAAAAGCAAACAAAACGAACGGTTAATTAAGCAAAAGCGTGACTAGTCACAAGAAGCAATTTTAAAATAACATTTTCAGAAACTTTAATTATAATAAAGGGTAAAATTGTCGCTTAAAAAAACTACTTCTATTATTGGCAGTGAATAAAAAACTTTAATTTTGGATAGTTTGGATGATATAAAATCACAATCAGGTGCAGTCATTAACCACTTGATGAACAAGACTAAGAAAAACTTCTAGGATTTCATAGTCTCATGTTGTCACTTTATTTATATTAAGCAGGTTCTTCTGCCGTCGCTAGTCGTTTTTACTGGCGCAAGTATGGCGTCAAGTCGCGATTCACCGAACCTCTCCACTGTTGTGTCAGGCCTTCATCTGATTTTTACACTCACATCAGTCGCTTTTTTCACGTACAAAGTCTACTACTTGGAGAATGAGCTTTCCTTAATTCGAAGAGAAGTGCCTTTTCGTACAGCCCAAGAGTCAACTGTCATTAAAGCAACTCCACCTAACATAGTTCAAAGCAGCGAAGAGCAAAGAAGTGGACGGAACCGCCGAGCCGGAAAGAGGAAATCCGAATCGTCATCAGCAGCCGTCAAGCTCAAAGCAGTATGTGTTCAGAAATTGCTCAACAATGTTCAGGTTTGTAACATATCTCTGTTTTAAACACTTGACTGAGACAGCCAAAGAGAATCTTAATCGCGAACGAAGGTTCATTGATTGCTGGACGTCACCGTTAATATAACAAATATCCATTCTTAGTCATTTATTTTATTTTACGTTGACTACCTATAAAAATGCCTTAATTAAATTCACGTAATATGTTAGGCGATCATAAATTAATGATTGGATCTGTTATCGACCAAATACAGAGGGAAGTTTTAATTAATTTTGCTAGCTCAACCATTTGTCTGGGAAGCTCTCTCGATTGACCTCCCTTGATACAGCTGTTTATACACAAGAAAGCACAGTAATGACTTAATCCGTATTTCAGAACTCTCGACTGAATCCTTTTATCTTTGACTAGATCGTTCAAGCTCTATTTATCTTTTCTAAACCTGAAGCTGCCAATCTTCGTTCACTTCATAGTCGTGCATTAGTAAAATCTCACTGGTTATAGTCTGAAGAACTAATTACCACATTTTAAGGGTATCCATCCACCCATGGCGTAACAAGAAAATCAACTTACATCTTTAAGACAAAATAGTTAGAGACATAAACAAATTAAAAAGTGAGTTTCTATCTTGAGTTCAAAAATTTTAGTAAGTAATTAGAAATTATCAGCGTTTAATGCTTTAAAAAGTACAACCTTGTCTCTGGCTTGTCAGTTCACAAAGACAGAATAATGTAACACTACTAATTTTTAGTCCCTCTTATTCTATAATGTACCAGTCAATTCCAAAACCGACCACCCCCCAACCCCGGGAATACCCTGGGCATTTGACTGGTGTTTTGCTCCCTACAGCGGGGAATTTAACCCAAAGGAAGCCCGCCCAGTCAGGCATTTGACCTTCGTGTCAAAACGCTGGTCAACCGTGTCGCGCGAAGAAAAAGGATTTCGTAATACTTTCCGCATTCACGGGTCATTGCTCCTATAATTCACTGTTTTGTTGGTCACTGTTTTGTTGGAGCATTTGAAGGCCTTTAAAAAGGCCGTTAAATGTGGGCTTTCTGGCTTGAACACTTGTATTGAAATGAACAAACCTCCGTAAGACAGCTTTTCGAGACTTTAGAATGTGTTTAGTTGGATATTTACATTTAAATAAACGGCTTGACGCATGGGAAAATTATTGAAAAGTCGCCGGTGGGTGGGGGATTTGACGCGTTTTGACGCGCTAGCCGGTGGTGCATTTGACCATCTAATAAGCTGCCAACATACCAGGGAATTTGAACAAAATTTTTCAAAAAAGTCAAATGCCCGGGGGTTTTTCTGGGCAGCGGCGGGGAATGGGCGGTTTTGGAATTGACTGGTAATAAGACGACAAAAAAATCTCGGGCGCGCAAGTGTAAATCTTCTAAAGCCATCTGTAGTTTCTCCACATCGTTCTCTCTCTTCGGCAAATAAATACGTTCCTCTGCTTAGTGTTCGATAAAGGTGATGATATATCGTAAAATTCCGAAAATAAGCCCCGGGGCTTATATTTTTCAAAGGCCCTTTTTGAGGGGCTTATATTCGGAGGGGCTTATCTACGGAGGAAAATTTGCGTTTCAAAATCGATTGGGCTAGCCTTATAGTTGGCAGTAAATTTACCGTTTTTGCTTTGTTTTACTTTGTATTTGAGGGCAATTTTCCAAGTACAAGCCCCTCTTCGGCAAATAAATACGTTCCTCTGCTTAGTGTTCGATAAAGGTGATGATATATCGTAAAATTCCGAAA